TATTAATCCCCTTAGTGGACTCCTTTTTAGGGTTCTACCACTTAAACTGCAGTGCTCCCCAGAACTCTGCTTTCAGCTGCCTTCTCACATTCCCTCTTCTAATTGCACCCATTCATACCGTTATAAGTAGTACCACCTACAAGCTGACACATGCAGGTTCATCTCCCTCGTCATGGCTCCTTCCTTAGCTCTAGATCTGTGTTTTCCAATCACCGACTGGTTCTCTCCATTCAGGGATTCCACGTGTATAGAAAAGTCAACATTTCCCAGATTGCTGACCGGTACCTTCTCAATTCGGCTGCTCTTTCTGTTCTATGCACCAATAAATGGCACCACGGGAAACTGGGATTCACCAAGTCCTGTCACTTCTACATTATACATGACCTCATGTTACGTTTCCTCCTTTGCATCCCTGTGTTAGTTCATCAGTCCTACTCGGGTGTTTGCAGTGGGTTCCATCTCATCTCCCAAGCTCAGGTCATGTTCCACTTCAATCCCCCTCCGCACTTTAGAGCCCCTTCCTGAAGTGTGAATCTGTCCCAGCAGTTCTCCTATGGGCATCCTTTCCTGGGTCCCTACAGCCTTGGAACGAAAATTAAACTCTTCAGTAAGCTGCAGAAATAGTCTTCATACGCTGATCGCCACCTCTGACCTCAGTGCCAGTTCTTATCACCTCCTCACGCTGACTCCCAACTCCAGCCATTTCAAGCTCCGTGAAAATCATTAAGCCCACTTATTCTTCCTGTGTCTTACTCTCGCACATGCCGCCTTTCTGCGTGGCACACACATCCGCAGACCTGTTAACTCCCATTTTCACTCACCCAATTTCTGTGTCCTCCATATCCTCAATATTCCTTAGATATTTCCTCTTTCAAAGGACTTATGAACCTACATTGTGATTCTTTCTACATTTGTTGGGTTTAAACAGTAAATGCCTTGACATTTAGGACTATGATTCTATGCTCTGTTATTCCACACATGTGGGATAGCACCTAGTCGATAACAACAAATTACTGCCACAAAAACAAATACTTCACCCAATATTTGTGGCATTCCCCAGGAGTCAAACATCCAACCAACCATTGCACAGTGAAAACCACATGGGGAGAGACAGAATAACCTTGGCGATGTGTATTTTATAGACATGAATTAGGAAGACAGAATAATATGTAAATGTAAAGCAATTTGAAATGCCAAATAACAAATGAATGATATAGTAGCCAACAAGTCACAGAGAAAGTCATGGGAGACTCAGACCACCACCTGCTCAACGGGATGCTCCGAAAAATTTCAGGGAAAAGATAAGACTTACACAGAGTGTAAGTACAGTGGAAACCTCTAGTGGAACTAACAACAGTGAACATCTACATGCTAAGTTCCATGAGGTCAGGGAATAAGTTGGTTTTGTTCACTGCTCTGTTCTTAAGGCCAAACACATGGCTGGACCATGGTAGCCACTAAATAAGTATTTCTGTTGAACTGAATTTTAAACTTTGCAGCTGGTAAAGAAAACATCTGGGTTTTTGTGTTTGTTTGTTTGTTTGGTTTTTAGAGGCAATACTTTCCTCCATTCACCATTCCATAAAAAGGTAATTTGTGTTCGTATTTACTAGAATCCTTTCCTCAAAAGTGAAATACTGCTTCACTCCTTGGATGGCAAATGTGTGGTTTCGAGACAGAGAAGAATCTGCTTCAAATGAAGTGAAAGCTATTTCAGTCCAGAATCCTCAGAGCCAATTTTGGATCTTAAAATGCACTTTTCATCAAGAATCTTAACAAAAAAGATTCCTGCCAGTTTAACCAAGACATCTAAAAATATGTCATTTTAAAGCCAAGCTTTCTGCTCAGGAGCATTCTAAATGACATCACGTTCTCCCAAAGAGGTTTCATTGAGCCAACCCGAGTCACATGACTGAGTCAGCTGCCATCCTCACCCTCCTGAGTACGAAGTCAGGACTTCACATCATTTAGGATTTCTGCATCTTCCTTAGTCTGTACTGATTTTCCAAGTTTTCCTAGACCTTCTTTGTACCCAACAGAGCTATTACATAATAAACCAAACCAGAAACACATGTTACTTTGAGTTGAAAATCAACTTAACATGTCCCCTCTCATTTCAAACATAACGGACGGAGACATAGTCATGTAAATTACTGACCCAACCTCACTTAGGGTGGCAGCTGGAGTGTCTTGAGTGACAGCCTGGTATACATCTACACAGGCTATGTTCATATAACACTAATACCTTCTACATACATAATTTCACTAATTCTTGTGGTCACCTGAGACAGGTAAAATGGGACTATTGTTTCCCTCTAACAGGTGACTCATTCCCTCAGGATGACTGAACAGCAGAAGCAGAGCTGGCATCCAAGACTCCTGACTCAGTTCAGAGTTTTTCTAGCATTATCATTTACCAGGATCACGGCGCTGACATGGGCCTTTTTCTTTTGGTACAAATGAATCAATAACAATTTAAATGGTCTGGTGCCTACCATTCTTCAAAGGAAGATTTGCCATAATAAAAGAAAGTTACAATCACCAGAGGTTGCAGGCCACAAAGGATACTAAGGCAGAAATGTGTGTATTAATTAATTTTGAAGTTTCACTTAAATAATCAATCAACCATTTTTTCAGAACTGAATCTAATCAAAATATCCTAATCCTTTTAGACCTGTATATGGGGACAAACTGCTATAAACATCTTACTTAGACACCAGTGACAGAATTTCCCATCTGTTGCTTCAAGTCAAACAACCATATTTAAATAAAATAGCATACATCACAAAATTATTCTCTGAAACATTAATTTAAGGTCACTAAGATTGCTAGTTGAAATAAGTCTATTTGACAAGCCAAAATGCGTCTGAACAAGTCCACGTGTTTTAGCATCAGGCTAAGAAGGGAACCTGGATTTTAAACACTTGCTCCTAATAATTAAGCCTGCACTATTGTCCTATTTACAACCTGACATTTGTTTTTACACTTTCAACATCACATGATTTTTCAGCAACAGTAAATAACTTTAAGAGATGACACCTCGCCTTAGCTGTATCTATGTTTTGACTAGCAGGTCTTGGCATTGTGTCCAAATCAGATATGTCTCCAAAATGCTGCATATAAGTAAAAAAATGAGCAAAACTTAGCAAGAAAAAAAAGTCCTGTTCTAAACAATTTGGGATATAATACATCTAAGTTCTTTGTTAATCTATTGCAGCAACGTCTAACCATTCATCATTGTCTCTGGATTCTAAATATTTATTTTTTCTATAAAGCCCATCTTTGTGACACTATAAAAAGGGGAGGTGGTAAAATAAAACTTGGGAGGAGAAAAGAGCATAAATAAATCAAAATGCAAAAGAGAGCATTCTCATTCAATTGTGCCGAGGCACACTGAGCCACACCCAACAACACAATCTAGATCCAAGTATCTGGGGTTTAGGGGTTACCAACATTAGGACATTTAAATTTTTTTATGGTAAAACTCAAAATATACACTAATGAGAAACCTCTAAGAACACACAAAGGTGGATATCTTTATATTGAGAAATTAGTTTCCTAAGGAAGACATATTCATTAGTTTCCTAAGAAAGAAATATTCTCTACTCACATAAGATTCTGAAAATGCGTGGGAAATCTGAGGTTCCAAATCACCCAGTATCGCCTTTAGTCTGTGTTTATATTCTACATGGTAAAGACTTACCCAATAATTAGAAAACAAGAAGATGCAAGTCATTAAAACACTACTGAAATAGTTGAATATTCCCCCCAGCAGTCATAAGACGTTTCAGATTCTTTTGGACAGTGTATAGGGGAACGAGGCTGGTTATCTAAACTTCCCTATTTGCATTCTGGGAATATGAAAACATGTGTGATGTTGAGAGCACATCCACTGCAGAGTCCTGGGCTCTAGTTAGTAAGTGTCCTATCTTTAAAGTCCTGATGGTTGGCTCAGGAGTGTTTTGCGTTAAACCTTATGTACAACAACCTCTTCTTTAGTAGCCCATTCCATTTCTAGGCAGAGCCATGCCACAGCAAAATCTTCTGAGGAATGCGCTTTGTGGCATCAGAATTGAAAGTAACACTGTAATCGTACACTCAAATGGGGCCTTTCTAGAGAAACTTTTCTAAAGGGGAAAACTTCAAAACACGAAGTAGAAAAGTCACAAGTAAGTGGGGGTATCTGGGACACTTGTCTGTCTTGTATGTCTGCAGTGCCCCAACACGGGCAGCAGGGGGCGCACCTGCATGAAGCTGTCCCCCACCCGTGTTCCCCAGTTGGGAACACGGAGGCTTTTTCTTTTAGCACTTGCCTCAAGCCCAGGGGGGCAGCCACCAAGGAGTGCCGCCCTCCACAAATTATACAAGCCTAGGGCAGAAGGCAAATAACTACAGAAATAACCGGAGAGGACACAGGGGTCTGAGCCTGCCTTTTGAAAACAAGGGGGGCCAATTTTTATTTTAGTTATTTTAGTGATGGGGGGGGGCTTAAAGGAGCAGGGGTGGGGAGCGTGCCCTCAGTAGCGACAGGGCCACCTCTGAAAGCAACAAGTGGACATGAGTACTCCCTGGGGCATTTATTCAGCCTCTTTGCAACAGTTTAGTTTGTAGGCAATACTCTCTTTTAAATGTTAAGTCAAAACCTTCTCTCTTCACCTGACCCCACCCCCAAACCCAGAATGTCGTTGTGAACCTTAGGAAATGTGGCTTCTGCAGGGGGTCTCCTGCAAGGGGCTGCATTTTGCATGTGAATGTGTGATGCATTTTACTCGCTTTCTGCCAAGTCCCAAGCACTTGAACCAAGCTGGAAAAATCCTTAGGGACCAGAAACAGCAGGCTCTGAAGCCACAAACACAGTGAGTTGCAAACTAAAATCCCCCGCCCTTGCCCCCACTTCATACACATACTCACACGGGCTCCACCCCCACCGGCTGGCTCCTGTCTCCTCCCTACCCCCAGTGGAGGTCTGTGGCCACACAGCCAGAAAGCTCAGTACTCACCATGTTAACTTCAGACACCATATCGATGCTGGCAATGTCAATATTCATTCCCACGGCCACGGGGGGACCTGCAAACCAAAATGGCCAGCCACGTGATTTCTGAGAACTTCATTCATTCTTAGCAAGAGTTGTGTCCCGGGAATGGGACACCCTGCTGCTGCAAGTCCCTCCCCACTGCTCGCCCTCAAGTTCTTCAAGCCCCTGCTCCTTTTAGAAAGGGTGCAGGAGTCCTCTAGGAAGCGCTCTCCTGAACATGCACACACGTGTCCTCATGGATGAGGGATTCCAGCTCTGTCTACACATGCAGATGTCTCAGCAGGAGAACACACACAACTCACAAAAGCACAAGAACGTTCTCGCCCAAGGGAATTTTATATATTGCGTTGAAACCTTCCTCCTCATTCACCCCCACAGCTTCTGGGTGCAGGTTTTTAACTCTCGAAGCTTCATGACTCGAAGCAAAATTAAATGGGCATATCAGGGTTTCTAATGCTGCAGTGAGAGAGGTTCCTGGCCCTTCACCCCACTACACTCCAAGCCCCTCGATCCTCCCCTCCCCCCTCCACTACCCCGTGCAATGAGGCTTCTAGGACTGGATGATATCCAAACACCAGCCGCTTCAAACTGCGGTCAGAACTCTCCCAAAGTAGGCAAGCACAGGGGGTTAATGCCACTTTTCAACCAATTGTCTGCACATCTTGTCCTCAAAAATGTTCACGGCAGCCTTCATTAAGCCAGGTTCTCTGGGTACACCATTAACTAAATTTAAGAGATTTGTATCGGAACCAGGCAAAGACAGTGAAGCAAAGGATTTATAACAGTGAAGCCAACGGACAGCTACCACCAATACCCACTAAGAGGGTCTCACAGAAACATCATCTAAGTGCTTGATAGTAACAATCGGCTTAAGTTTGGATCAGTTTCCCAATGTGGTAACACAGAGACACATTCGATACACCACATTCACCCCGACAAGGGAGAGGGAAGAGACAGGGAACACAAGGCTAAAAAGACAGCTTAGGCTATAGCTGGGTTGTTTCTTATTTCCAAGGCAACCCTATTACCTCCAAAATCTGGTCTCAGACGAATGTCATAGCCTTTCAGGAGTCTATCCACCGTCTCTTTAACCAGTGACATATTACTAGGATCATTGACACTAAAGAAAGAAAAGACAATAAACAGGCATCAATAAGGCAGCAGGCACAACGTCTTCAGCATCTATCTGATCCTCACTACAGATCCCGGTTTACAGAGGTATGCAGACTGAGCCCTTCGAAGTGAAAAAGGAAAGAGAGAAACGGGGGCACACTTACCTCTGCGCACAGACGGCGGCGATTATTAAGGGAAATGACCAAATCCCAAAGTAGCCCTTTTTCCGGACTCTCCACATCCCTTTAGTTTTTGATGGGATTGAGGGTTTCTCTGAAGAGAGGAGATCCAACTTAGTCTGCCCAGTGCAGTAATTCTAATGTGAGGCGCATGCGCACGGCGTACCAAAACATCAAAGGGGCAGCAGCGACTGCCTGGGACCTAGCAGATTTTCTTGCTAAGAAAAAAATAAGAATAAAAATAAAAGAATTAAAGGGGAAAAAGAAAACACATATATATGCATAATACATACATATTTGAATACTACAAAAAGTCACCCCACAAGATGACCCAGAGGAAAAATCTTTGTTGTCCTTTCCTTAAGACAAAAACAACTAGAGTGGCTGGTAAGTTTCGGTAGTTGCGGGAGGCAGTATTGCACCTCCCAGGTTGTGGTGTGGTGTGGTGTGGTGGTGGTGTGTGTGTGTGTGTGTCCTTTTAAATATGCAAAACCAGATTAGAAATTTAGGGGATAGCAGGTGTGGAGTGCGAGTGGAAGGTGGTGCCTGGGAGACCACTTCTGGTCTCCACAAGCAGATGGGAGAGGAGTTTGAACTTTATTTCCTGGGAGAACAGCATCCCCTGCCTGGGGCGAGACGGTGCCGGGGGTGGGGGTTGTGCGGTGGGGGGAGGGAGAAAATAAACCAATGGGCGGAGTGCTGAGCAATCCGTTGGATTTGGGGCGGAGTGGGGGCTCGGTGAAGAATTAAAAAAGACACCGAAAAATAAAAAAAGGAAGCCAGAAAAAGAGAAAAGGAATAAAACGCTGCCTGGTCTTTTCTAGGAGTCAAGGAGCAAGCTTTTCTTCACTACTCACGAGCGATTTCTTCCTCCTGCTCCTCACCCTTTGCCCCCTATTCCCTGGGAAGAAAACCTCGGGGTCCCGGTTTCTCGCCGTGTGACGTGCCTGACCCGCTAGTCCGGATTATTTATAGCAGAAGGAGGGGGTGGCGAGGGGAGCAGAGAGGCAGCGCTGCCTCTCCAGGTTTCGCTCTGATTCTGCAGTGGGAAATTAATAAATAGGGAGGGTGGGGTTTGGAGAGGAGTGATGGGATGTGGAAGGAGTTGGGAATGCAGGAGGCCAGTGCTCGAACGTGAGTGCAGGGGCGAGAGGGCTTGGGCAGCGACGAGGTCCAGGAAGGGCAGGTGGCAGCGCGGGACGCCCTGGCGGCCCCCGCGCCCTCTCGGGGCGGCAGGCGCGCACGCGCACGCGCGCGCGCGCAGCCACACTCCCCGGCGCGCCGCCCCTCCTTACCTCGCGGGCCTGCGCCCGCCGCCCACTGCTGCTGCTGCTGCTGCTGCTGCGGGGCCGCGCCCCCGGCCTTAGCTCCGGTTCGAGAGCGGGTGGCGGGCAGGGACACCCGGCTGTTCAGGGGCTGTGTCTCGGGGTTCCAAAAGCCAAAAGCAGTCCTTAGAATGCAGGCAAAATGAGTCAGGGGTTCAGGGGCCGTCCCAGGAACCGCGATCTCCCGTGGTCTCCACACCTCGTCCTCTCCCCCTTTCCCGGGGCCGGGAGAGGCTCGCACACCCCAAACTGCCTCTTCCTCCCGCCTGAGGCTGGAACGTGCGGGCCGTGGACACCGAGACCCAGAGGAAACAGCGAGTGCGCTCGGGGGCTGGAAAGGGAGGGAGATAATTCGTGGAAGAAGTCTTTCCACGGCCCGAGGTAGAGAGACGTGCAAGGCGCCCCGAGGTGCCACCAAGCTCGGGGCATCCACGCCGTCTGGAGGAGCTGGGACGAATGGCTCCCCGGGCACTCCCGGGTTATTTGGGAGCCGGGGAGGAGGGGGTGCAGGGCAGGTGCTCCCGCCAGGCTCCCCGCCCCCTACTCCTTGAAAAGTCTGAGGTCTAACCTACATTCTGGACCCCAAAGCTTAACTTCTAACTCCCCTTCCTTTTAATCATCCTTACCATTAACTGAGCGCCTACTATGTGAAAGGAGTGCTTTATTAATTATTTCCTACAACGATCTTAGTTTAGCTGTCACCTCAGTCCCCCTATATTACGGATTTAGAAACTGTCACTTTGAAGCTGAGGAACTTGCCCAAGGTCAACCGGTGTTTAGAAATGGAACTAAGGTTGAACGGCAAAGCCTGGTTTCCTAACCACTGGACTAGACAGCCTTGACTCCTGGTCCCGAACCGCAGATTGACGGCTGCTCTGTACGCGAGGCCCTCGGCGGCTGCAGGAGAAACCAGGGCGCAGGGCGCTCCGCACCAGGGTGGTCCGCTGGGGTCTGGGAAAGGCAGCAGGGGGCAAGGGATGCTCGTAGGCTCGCAGTTTCGCAGCAACCGGGACCCCTCAGGGTCCTGGCCAGAGCTGCACAGGACCCATTTACTTCTTGACCACAAGACTCCCGTGCACAGGTCAGAGACTCCCTCCGCGCAGCTTAGGGAATGACTTCCAGGGAAGCGTGGCGGGCTGCGAGGCGGGAAGCCTGCAGCTCCCGGGGCTGGAAGGCGAGCGGAAGGGAGAGCCATGCGCCTCCTCCGGTTAGGGGAGTGTCTGCGCGAGAGGCAGGTGAAGCAGCACCATCCACAGTGCGCGTCCCCAGCCCAGGGTTCTACAAGCTGCGAGACACAGAGGGGGACACACGGGGACACACACATACACACACACACACACACACTCACGAGAGAGAGAGAGAGAGAGAGAGAGAGAGAGAGAGAGAGAGAGAGAGAGAGAAGGGAAGGGAAGGGAAGGGAAGGGAAGAGAAGGGAAGAGAAGGGAAGAGAAAAGAAGAGAAATCGGTGGCTCTCCTATCTCCAAGTAATTCTGTAATTACTTGGCTTGGAAGTTACAGAAATCAAAACGTATACCAATGGCCGAGGAAAATTGCTAGTTTTCCTTTTTTACCCCCCTTATACACAATGGAAATCTGTTATACAAGCCGACTATACTGAAGGGAAAACAAAGTTTAGATTGTTGACATTATCCCTGGAGGATTCCTAAAGCAGTCTGAACCCTAGGTAAGCCGAGGCGAAGCCCTAGAAATCTCTTCCTCTGGACAACATCTCCAGACAGAATTCTCCTCTGGCTGGTAGTTGCCCGCGTGGCGCCACCTGCACCGCCTGCCCCTCCAGACTCAGGCTCACTTCAGTTTAGGTTGAAAGGCCAACGTTCCATAAACAGAACAAAACCACAAACGCTCTCACCCACTGAAAATAATGATGATGATGGCCCAGGAGCTAGAGGTCTAACTTTGAGCTCCCATTTCAGTTTAAATACTAGTAACCTTTGTGACTTGGGCAGATCACCTACACTCTCCAAACCTTAGTTTCCTCTACTATAGAAACAAAAATAGTAACAGTACCTTCTCCATTTGACTGTAGTAGAATGACAGATACATGTAGAGCATCTGGCATGTGATTAATAAATATTAGCATTTTTAATGAACGAGGCATAATGAATGGACAGGAAGGCAAACAAGGTTTAGTAACATTAATCTATAAAGACTGAGTGGACACACATTTGGTGCAGTTATCACAGATTAGCCTGAGAAGAGCGGAGCATCAAGGGAATTAAGATAAGGTTAAGAAGAAAATGTATTCAAGACCCTAGCAGCAATCAAAGGAGAAAAGATAAAAAATTATGTATTTTCCTTATGTGGTAACATCTCAAGGGTTTCTCTTACCAACAGCGGAAACTGATGTAATTGAAGACATATTCCTACTAATTATGAAACCTGATGTCAACTTATACCAAAAGTAGATTCTTACTGTACAGCAGAATCAACACCAGGACATTTCTCTGGAAGACTCTGCTGATAACACTGCTAGGAATGTGAAAATGTGAACAAAAATGTGCAAGAAACGGCACTGCTGGAAACTGGGGATGTGTCAATTGTTGGACAGCATCCTCCATGAGCCCAGAAATACAATGAGAAGCCACAAGCAATTTCTTTTAGGAGATCATGATTCAAAGTCATCTCTCAGTATGAAGCATATAAATGCCAGGTAAAAGCCATCGCTAACCATGAGCTATTGGTCTTTGCTGTAGTATTCATTCATTCATTTAGTAAGTATACGTTGGGCACTTACTCTACGTCAGACATGTTTTATAAGCACCTGGGCGATGTGCTGAGGAGGCAGATGTGGTCCTTATCCACTTGGAGCTTACCCTGCAGAGTGGGAAAGAGTCATTATAGAAGTGATTACAGATGCAGCATGTATTGGGAAATAGAGGAAAACAGGATCTAAGGAATCCATAATTGGTGCAAACAACTCAGGTTGAGGGTTTGGGTAGAGCTTGCCTGACGCAGTGATTCTTCAATTAAGATTTGAAAGATGGGCAAGCTGATGAAGGGCTGGGTGAGGATACTGCAGGAGGAAGACGTAAGTATGTGCCATGTCCTGGGCCAAAAGACGGGACATGATGGAGAGTGAGGGAGAGCAGCGGGGCGAGAAGACGAGGGTAAGGGCAGCTTTCGGAGGGATGCCGTGGGAAAGCTGGGCAGGAGCGATTTGGGATCGCCGGTCTGCTGAGGGAGGCGAGTGACAAGATCAGTTTCAACCTCCCTGGAGGAAGAGGTAATGGCTGCAGAGGGCCTGGAAGCCGGGGGAGGGGTGACCGTGGCCTGAATTAGGAGAGTGACCGTGAGGGCGGACAGCAGTGGCGGGAGCTGTGTGGGAGCAGCGCGGCTACCTCTGCGGCAGACGGCACGGGGGGGATGAGGGGGAAGGATTCAAGATGACTCACATTTCTGGTTTGTGCAGCTCAGTGGGGGTGGTGGAATAAAGTTGGTGGGGACGACATCCTGAGTTTGGGTCATGGTAACGTTGAGGTACTTACGCAGGCTAGCCATTCAAGGTGCGCTGGTTTATGTACCTGAATCTCAGAACTGAGGGGTGAGTTGAGGCCAATACATAATTTTCATGTTTCATCCTGACACTTTATTTCTCTTATCTGCTTTAATTTTTCTCTTTGGAATGCATTACTATTTAACGCACTTTAATCTACCCATTGTAATGCTACCTTCTTGCATGGAATGAAAGCTCAAAATAAAACAGAGATTCTCATCTGCTTTGCTAACTGCTGTAGTCCACTCCTTTGTTCCCAAAGTAGAAACCTAATATATGTGTATTAATGAATGAGTGTATATTTGATGATCCTGAGGATGTAAATAACTGGAATAATGGGAGCGTGTCAGACTTATCCAGGGAGGAAGAACAGAACAAGACTAGAAGATCTGGGAGAGAATCTTCTGGTGAAGGACAAGAGCGGCAATCAGAAGAGTCAAATCAGGGCCAGCCCGCAGGGAGGAGGCAACTCCAGTGGCGGAATCAAAGCCAAGGAAAGAGAATATTCTGAGAAGGAAGGCCTGGTCAACAGTGTTAAATACGTAAAAAGTTTTTAAATGTTTGAATAGATGCTACATGCCCATGGTATAAAATTTAAAATGTAAGTCACTCTGTCCCTCTGTGTCCCTCCCTAGGAACTAAGGTCACTCACTTGGGAGAGGGAGTCGTGCGGTATGGGCAGCAGAGCCACTGGCCTGTTGAAGGACGGGCAATGCCCCCAGAGGCCGAGTGGTCTTCCCTAACCTGGCTTCCCAGGCAAGATGGCGATTTTGGTGGGGATTCTCCGGGAACGTAGGTTACCTATTTATCATTGGAAATCTTTTAAACATTTGTATTTCTTATTCTTTTAAAAAATGAACAATGGATATCTTAGCTTTGAATATCGATTGAGGTATTTTTAAATAATGTGCAGAAATTCCTGTAATAATGAAGAATAGGGAGAAATTGAGAAATAATATGTAGAAAGAAAGTATGTCTATTACTTTTCAAACATACAATAACACAAACCTACAAATTACTAATAAAGGCTTGTCACATATATAGCTTCCTGGAAGCACTGTAATATATAAATAAGAACCATTTTAAAATAACCTCTCTGTATAACATATATGAATGCACCTTTATTTTTATGTGCTAGGGAATATTTT